TAATCCATCTCCCACTAGTGGGGAGATGGCCATAACCCTGCCATTTCCCCCATGTTAGGACAGACATGCTAGTGTTTACTGCTGGTCTGGTGTTAAGAGGATATATTTTATCTGCTCGCTGTTTTACAGACAATGTCAATTTGGCAGTAACCCATAACAGTTCTCTATTTATAACATGTCTCAAGTCTCCCACTCTTTTTTGCGAGGAACAGGGGCAGAACTGTAAAGAAAGACTGTGGCAAGACAACCCTCAGATCAGATCTGCTTGAACTCCGCCAATCTGGTTTCAGCACAGAAACTGCACTGATTGGTGCTTTCCTGGTGATGGATGCAGATCAAGTGGCCATGCTGATTTCTTTAGCTCTGTCAGGTACCTTCAATACCATACATTACGAGCTATTGTTTACACATCCGCAGTCCCTAGCAGGAATAGATGGAGTTGCTCTTGAGTGGCTCCAATTCTTTCTTTCTGAGAGTAAAAGTAGTAGTGGGCAGCTGCTCACAGCTCTCTCACATGGGGTATTACGTGGTTCAGTCTAGTCATTCACATTGTCAGAAGAGTATATGAAGCCGTTAGGAGACGGGATAAGATGCCTTCAGAATGCTGAAGACAAGCAGATCTATGTCTCAATTTCATTGCTCTACTCTGGCTGAGACAGGGAGTTGGATAAGGGCAATCGGGGGGGAGGGATAGCTCAGTGGTTTGAGCATTGGCCTGCTAAACCCAGGGTTGTGAGTTCAATCCTTGAGGGGGCCATTTAGGGAACTGGGGTAAAAATCTGTCTGGGGATTGGTCTTGCTTTGAGCAGGGGGTTGGACTAGATGACCTCCTGAGGTCCCTTCTAACCCTGATAGTCTATGATTCTACCTGAAGCTCAATCCAGACAAGACTGAGGGATGGTTGGAGAAAGAAATTAGGAACAAATATTGAACGCTCTATTTGCTCCCTTGGTTGGGAGGGTACACCTGCCATTCTTTACTCAAGTTTGCATTTTGAAGATTGTGTAAGACCACAGCAAATCTAGATCATCCGGGAGCAGTTATAGCCAAAACTGGTTTCTCCCATCAGCACTTGACAAGTAAGGCACAGCCTTTACTTTGGGATGTGAACCCTGCTATAGTAATCCAGCTTTTGTCAATTTGAGATTAGGCAACGACCATGTGCTCTCCATGGAGCTAACAGAACAGAGTTTAAGACCACTTGAAAACACAAGTTAGTGCAGAAAGTAGCTTCTGTTGGTCAAAGGGTGCTTCCCACTGGAAACATGATTGTCTGTTCACAGTCCTGATTTGACTTAGTTTTTGACTTGAGCTTTAAAGTATCAGTTGTTATCAGTGAACGGTTTGGACCTTGCCTACCTGAAAGACATCTACTACTCTCTGCAAGAGATACTCTGACACAGCTGCAATCAGTGATTCTGGAACTCACTCCCTCTCTCTTATTCCCAAATATTTATTATTCATTTAAGTGTATAAAACAACCATAACTAATCACTTGATGAGTTCCTGTTCTGTTGATTCCCTCTGGGGCACTTGGCATTGGCAAATGTTGGCAGACAGGATATTGGGCTAGATGGACCTTTGGTCCGACCCAGTATGGCCGTTCTTATGTTATGTTCTAATGTGCCCCCAACTCTGGCTTAGGTAGGGTGACCAAACATCTCGATATTATCGGGACTGTCCGGATCTTAGGGGCTTTGTCTTATATATGCAACTATTACTGGCCCTTCCCCTGGAAAAAAAAAGTGTCACGATTTTTCACACTTACTATCTGGTCACCATGGGCTTATGGCACCATCTCCTCCCATAATGTAATTAACAATCAACAAAGCAGATAACAGACTACATAAAAATAAAAGCTCCCCAGCCAGTGTTAATCTTTAAAAGTCTCCCATGGGAGGACGGGGGGACCTTACAAAAGGCCTTTCGTAGCATTACACAATCACCCCTCCAGCCCTTCCCAAGATGCCCTGGAAAAAAGATGGGCCCAGCAGAACGTTCATAAAGTAAACAGATCAGGGCTCTAACCGAGCTTGGTGGGGAAGTGATTTCCAGAGTCAATGGGCCTTCACAAAGAACACCCTGCCAGTAGTTCTCTTTCATTAATATTGAGAGAGCTCTGGTTCAAGTGATTCTGCTGATCGCAAGGGCAGAAGCATGACCTGAGGACTGAGGTGGTCTTTTGGGTAGCCTGGTATCAAACCATTAAGAGCTTTGAAGATCAATCCCAACACCCACCTGCAAACTCACAGGCAACCAGTGCAGTACCCAGACCACCAGAGGTATGTTTCTCTGAGTGAAACCTTGTTTAATAGGTGTATTCTGCACCCATCTTCATTCTGGTTGATTGCTTTGCATTTTGTGGGTTGCGGTCATTGGTGCGGATGGGTTGGTTGTGATATTTTGTTTTATCTATATCCTTTTAAATGTATGCACCACTGCCTAGAGTTACGAACAGACAATATTTTAAAAACAGATAAATAAATCGGTATTAAAAAATAAATAATTCCTTACTGAAGTTCCATACAATCAAGCTAACACATCCTACCATTATTTCCAGGTCAAATGACTGGCTCTCATTGGGCCCTATGATGAAAAAACAAGGTAAAAGGACTTTGCACGTGTGAAAATGAGCTACAGCACATTCAAGTGTAGCGAAGACATTATCATCCCTAAGAAAAGTTTGTGTAACCAGGCCATCCACCTAGCCAGGCCATCACCAGGCCAAACCCCTGGCTCTACCGGGGTTGACGGGAGTAGTAGACGTGGCTTATTATTCCCACTACTTATATGGAACCATGCAGGCCACAAAACTCTTTATTTGTGAGAACAATACTCCATTCTTCCCCTTGCCCCAGCATGTTCACCTGAGGGACCCACCACAGAGATCCCATCTGCGATGCACTGTGTGGTGGGCATGAAGCGCTCTTGTATGGGCTCTCCCCTGCTTTGCTGCCCGCACACTTGTGCGGCAGGAGGCATTATTTCTGCTGCCTTTGACCCTATATGCCGGAGTAAGCTGCTCAAGAATTTGGCCCTTCACGGTGAACAATCCTAATTTTAGGTTCAAATGTATCACCATCCCACCCTTTTACGGTCAATTGGCAGCACTGCCACAGACCCAGAAAACCAACGTTACAGAAAATGCTGAAGAAACAATTTCCAAATCATATTAGCATCCTCCATTACTCCCTTTCCTATGCAATAGCCCGCAGTTTGAGTCTATGTCCCAGACCTGGACCCGGGCAGACTGTATGGTAATGCCACCTACCTTCAACTGCAGAAAGGTTCTCGGGAGTGCTGGAAAGCAACACCATCAGGAATCATAACATTTTGCAAAGCTTTTATAAACATTCCTAATTCATTAAATACTACACTAGGACAACCTTCGGACTAAAAGATTCCCATATGGACACATACATATACTCTGAAACACCCCCCCCCCCCACATCCTTAAACAGAACCACACCACATGTCCCTCTGGCACACTGAATGAGTGAAAATCTTACAAGTTCTAGTTTGAATATACTTAAGCAGCAGCTCAAGAAATATATTTCACAGTAAGCTCAACTAAACTGCTGATACTTCAAAGGTTAGCATATGCGTTATTTATCATCAGTTTTGTAACTGAGTTTTTGCTCAGTTCCAGCTGCAGATTCAGACATTGCAATACTTTTTATGTAATGTAGTAAAGAATATTAAAGAGATGGTTACATTTCACTGTGGATTTAAACAGGAAGCTGGAGGGGGCTGGTGCCACATTGGCAGAGTAACTTACTGATGTGCTTTTTATAGGAGTCCTGAAAAGAACTTCTTCAAAGTCTGAATGAAAACCAGCCCCATACACTTAAATAATATCTGTGTAACAGGAATCAGTTATGCTAGACCCTCAGATATTCCAGCCAGAACTCAGCCTAAGAATATCTTGGCACTTCAAGTGAGAAGTGGAGCGCCCTCAACACTGACTTCTCAGAACCTCACAGAATGAGGCTCCTTTCATTCCTACAGTGGTAGTGTGAAAAGTCAATCAGACTGTATTTTGTATTCTTATTCCAGTGAATGCATGTAAAGAATACAGGGCCAAACACAAAATGCATAGTCATCAAGGACAGCAGAGGCTGACCCGGCACGTTATTATCTTCCGTATACCCATTATCTGGAGGTGTTATTGCCTGCAACACAAAAAGTTTGTGCTAATAGCCCTTCAAGCAACATGATGATAAACATTTAACTGTCCCAGTGCCCACTTTCACATCCTTATGCTGAGAAGTGAGCACTCTAAGGGAAGACATTTGTTGCTACACTGTTTGGCAATGTTACCAGGGCTTTTCTGGTGCCAATTTTAATATGCTCCTGTGGAAAGCAGGAAAAATGAATTTCAGCACCACACACATACAAAAAGGAAATCTATTACCTTTTACTTTAAAACACTAGCCAGGTTAACAGAAAGCAACTGGGTTCTGGGAAAGGAAAGAGCACTCAGACTGAATCACAACATAGTAATTAGGGCCAGTAGGTCATTAAAGCCACAGCTGTATAAACTAGGGGTGTAATTAACTTTCTATACTGCTTTTACACAACAGCATTTCAGTTTCTTCTGTGGGGGGGGGGGAATCAGTAATATTAAAAAAGAAAAGAAAAATAACCTCTGAAATGCCAATCAAGTGCAGCAAACCATTGTATATTTTGCAGAGGGGAGGGAAGCATGTAAGAAGTGTGTTTTTGTAAGTATGAAATACAAAGTACTACATAAGAATTATATTCATGAGATGTAATCAGAAGGTTTGCAAGCTGCCATATAGTGGCTGTTGGGTGAGCTTCCTGTATATACAGTTGCAAGGCAATTACTGTTCTCTGTAGAAGGTGAATACAAGAAAATGAAAAATTATACACTAGCATGAAACAGTTACAATACCTCGTTTAAAATGTAAGCCTAGTGAACAAGTTACAGGGCATTAAAAGGAGCAACTGCAAGACTTTAATTATAAACTAGTTCCTACCGTACAGTAGTTTAGAAAAATCAGCCGCTTCCAAGCTGGCAATTTCCATATATAGCTCTGCTGCTGTTTGAAACAGACAACCTGTAAAGTTATCAACAACAGAAGAGGACCTCATGAAATGCTCAAGGACCCCAATGTAACCTACTACTGTCCAGTTCATTGATGTGCTAATGTGCTAAAAAAATACTCCATATTCAGTTGAGAAACTGAAAAGAAGGAGAGTAATCTACAAATGGACACTGACCATGGGGGAGGGCAGCACGGGAGGGGAATATGGGTGAAGGAGGTAAAAATAAAGGGAAGATGGAGCTGTATTTTTAATCTGAGAAAAGTACTAAAATCCTGAAAAGGAAATCATGCATGCGGATAAACAACAACAGAATCACACATACACGCATAGCAAAGCTTGGGGCTTCTCAGCCACTTTTCATCAGATAAGAAATAACAGCATCAGCCAAAAAACAAAGGTACACTGCTGAACAGTTGCTTGATGCATGCGGCTTTTGCTGCTGGCCAGAGGGGACATGGTGATTTGTAAATCCAGGTTTGAATTATATTATTTGTCAACAATCCAAAGTATAACAGCAATGGTCAAAAAATATTTGTTTTCTAAAAAAGGATTGGCAAATCTGTCATGGGTGCCAATACTTAGTTCTCTCTAAGTAAGAGGAAGGGGGGAAAACATTAATTTTAAAAACTCAAGACATCTAATGATATGCTCATCAGTCGCATTCATTTTGGAAGGCATTTTTAGAACTGCCTTCTAATTGGCTTAAGGATCATTTCCAAGATCTGACTTCTTAATTGGTTTTTTGGAGGGAGGAAGAGAAGGAACATGATGCCACCTCTCTGGAAGTTGCTCCCACTTAAACCCATTTCAGAATCCTGTTAGAAACTCCAAATCTATAACCTACAATCACAGACATCAGGCAAGAGTAATAGGCATAAAAGGCACCTAATTCTGTCAGAAAGAGAAAATCTACTTGTCACTGACATGAAAAAGAAAACCACATATTTATGCTACAAGAGATATCTACATTTCAATGATGCTTTGTCCTGAAAGAAACAAGCTTGAAGTACATGAAAAGGCAAAGGGGAAAAATGGCTGTTTGCTACTTCCTTCCATATCAAATAAGGTGCTTTCAAAGTGTATTATAACTTTAGTGTACTGTAATGAATTTCTAAGGGATTCCAATGAAATAGATGTTTTTTCCTATTCTTTGGAGTGATCTCACCTAATCTTGCAATACTCCTGAGTTGCAAGGTCTTCCTAACTTCAGTATCCCACAGGAAGTCATTAGTTATGTTCTATTACCACCCTTGTAATATTAGCAGCACAAATATTGCCTGTATTGATCTGGACCCACATACACTATTGAAAACATTGCTTCAGATTAAGATATGAAATCCTTACTTGCCAAGAGACAGACACTACATTACAATCTTGTATGTCAGGTACTACAAATAAAAGAAGTGGAGTATATCAAAGGACACTATCATGTAGCTTTTTTTATAGGGTAATATTTTTAACACATCCTATTTTCTAATGCTGAAAGATTTTTACCCTGATCTTTTTCTGTTGAACTTAGCATAGATTTGTTTTTGCTGTTCTTTAAATGAAACATTTTTACTTTTGTCAAACAACTTAGGGCTTGTCTACACTTGAAACTTGTTTCTGATTAAGGTAGAATACAAATTTAAAGTGCGATAGCTATTCCTGAAGAATAGCATAACTTCCAGAATAAGAGCATCCACACACGGAGTTAATCAAGAACAGTTAATCAGGAACAATTCCATGTGTCCTTATACAGTGCCTTTTGATGCCAAAATGGCTTCCCTTTTGTACCAGTGTCATGTACGAAGACAGTACAGTCATGAATAGTATTAACTGCAATTCAAAAGTCTGGAGTTGGAGCCTGATATACAGTGTTATGGTAGGTCCCACAAAAATATAGAATTTATTTTTATTCTCACTAATGAAATTGTAAATTTTTGAATAAATTAAAATTGGGCCCTGAAAATACTGACACTAAACAACGTCATTTTCTTTTTATATATTTTGGGCCACACTTTTAAGCCCATTTTTATGAGCAAAGGAATATGCTCCCCTTCAAGTGGCTGCTTTTGCACTTAGACACTGCTCTAACAGGACTTTACACATGCTCAGCATCTTTAAACATTTGCCGGTCTTCATTTTGAGTGTACAAATGGCTGTACCAGCTGTGCGCCTCTGCCTTCCTTTTCGGAAGTTGTGGCCTTCAACAATGTTTATGTCGTTTTCAGCTACTCCTTCCAGGCAGTCAGGTATGAATGAACAAAGTCATCCACATACTATCAATGCTTCAGTGCATGTTAAAGAATCTCTGCATCACTACTACCGTGGCTATCAGCCTGTGGGTAGTAACCTTGAGGTAGATTGTCTGAAGGTTTTGATGGGGCCTCAGGTTTGCTCCCTAACCTCTGCCCAATACTGGCAGAACAAGAACCGCGCCAATTCTAGGAGGCAGGGCAGGAAGCAGAGGAACCAGTACTTGAGACAGATTTAAGATTGCAATCCCTGTCCACCTGCAGCACAGGAGAGAACTTACCATCCCTCCCAGCAGGCAGAAATGGGTAAAAGAAGGAACTCACTTCTCCAAATAGCTGTAAGAGGGCAAGGAAGAGAGCTACAGGCCTGGGTTCAAGACAGCCCAACCATGAGCCCCATGAAGTATCATAGAAACAAAGGGTAGACTACACTAGCGTATCTGTGAAGCTGCAGGTATCTCAACCTATCGGATACATTTCTAGTAGCATTATTTTTAGTTGTGCCCAGCTGGGGGGCAGTGGAGGGAGGAGGAGACACGACACAAACTATTTATCAGACAAATGAAGGAGGCCAGGGGAGGAAGATGCACTTGGGAGGAAGATGACTGAGGGTCTGGGGATCAATCTGCAGGAGAGAGGACGCTTCCCTCTGTGGATGATGACCTAGCCAGTCTCCCCACCGAAGAACTGGCACAAAAGATCTTTGATGTGTCTTGTGGGGAAAAGCGATGGCTGAATATTGCATTCTGGGAAGGATAAGGATGGAGACTTCTAGTCTCATGAACATGCTCTGTCTCACTCTCCTAATATCTTTTTTTACATCTTTGGTTAGACCTGCAAAGATATTTACTGTAGGCAATAAAATCAGTTTAACCTGATCTGTAGAATACCTGCTGGTTTCCCTGTCATAGAAAGTGTCATGTAAGAGCAATATATGTTGCAATTGTTCACATCAATGCTCTGAGCTCATTCTCTCTTTTAGGAAAATAAAATCAAGATCAGTTCGTAATGACACCCATCACCATCTCCTTAAACTTCAAAAGGAAATGCAATAATGACCCATTAAGCAGTAGTATGGCCCTTGTTTAGCACGGGATTACAAATCTCATCCTAAAACTTAATCTCAGAAATTGTCATGTCCACTTAAAGTGTTCAGAGGACTTTAGAGTCTCTCTTCCCTAGAATTTTGCACACTTAAATCATTTAACTTTGAACTAATCAACCTTCCTCCATTTGAAGGGGGAAAAAAACAGTCTAAAACTTAGCGCTAATAAAAAAACGACAACATTTTTGTCTAGCATAATTACTGACAGATTCCAATTGGAAAGCTGTTGCTTTTATTTTAATTTTATTAAAGAAGTGAACAAAGGCTACCCAAGGCACCACAATAAAATTACATTAACTGTAAAATTACATTATTAATTCTTTAATCTCACTTGAGGCCTCAAGCTGTTGCTATGTCCAATTACCCAGCTAACCACCTGTCAGAATTGTAAAGCTAGTTTAACATTACCTCCAGGACAGTGGTGTGCCCTATGTTCAGTCAGGTCTGCCAGTGAATCGAAGTCCTGCTGACAGTTATCGCAGGTGTAAATTGACTCATCCTCCATGTCTTCATCTTCCTCATTTCTCTCTTCCTGACTCGTCACGCTGTTCCTCTCTTCCAAGGCCCGGCTGTCCTTCACCTCATTCTCCAGCTCTCCTCCTAGGCCTCCTGCCAACAGGAAAAATATACTCCACTGTAAGTTTTAGTGGTCTGGGAAAAATTTTTAAAGAAATGGTCTTGCATCTATTAGATACATTTAATTACCCTAGCTCTCACTTCACATTATTCCTGACACCTCTCATTATATTAATGTGTTTTTTGTATCATGCAGTGTAACAACTCTCAATTGTATTCTTTAATACTTGGTGTGAATCCTCCAAAGATACTTTCTTCTAATCTTCTTTAGTGTGTGTATGGTAGGAACCTCTAAGTTTCCATCATACCAACCTGTTAGCACTTCATCATTTGAAGCAGATTCACAGCACATTACAAACTTGCAAGATTAATTACTGACTGTTAAGAAAAGTTAATGCTGGATTTTAATTCTTTAGTTCCTCCCACCCCACCCCCTCAAAAAAAAAAAAACAATCTTCAAGCATCACTAAGAAAAAATTATCTGTTTTAAGGCCCCCAGACCTATTTATCTTCTGGTATGTGAGTAGTTCCACTAGACCTGAGCTAACCTAAGTCAATTTGCTAGGCAGACATGCTTTGAATTCTAGTTGTCGGGTTAACATTATAATATTTGATATTCAGATTTCTTGGATATTCTTTATTTTAAACTGTGATCCAAATTCAGGAAAATGGAAATTTAAAGGGAAAGGAATTTGTTTTCAGAATAAACTGCAAGTTTAAAACAGAGATATAATTATGGACCCGCTTCTCTTTTCACTAGTGTAAGTCAGGATTAAATCCGTTGCCATCGATGGAAATGACCCAGTGTAAAACTGGTCTAATGGAGGTAAGAATCAGGCTCTCTAGCTACATAGTGTCTTTAATACCAAAATGCAGTTCGCAAAGAGCATGTTCAAATTATGCTATTAGACTGATTTGCCTATTTTGCCTCCTTCCATTCATCTTAAACTCTGTTTTAATAAAGTGTGTGGACTGTAAAGAATCATTATAAAACTGAACCTGAAGCACAAACTGCAATAAAAAATTGAATTCATGGAATCTTCTATTAGAAGTTCCAAGTTGTTCATTGTCTGAATTTATATGACAGAAGTTAGTTTGTTAAACGGGACTGAGGGTATCTCTTCTTGATCCACATTTTTAATGAGATGTTATAAAGTTGTTGGATTGTTTGTTTGTTTTTAATTATCAAGGAAACACCAGTGATTATACAGATCAATCGTTTCTCATATGGGATTGGATCCAAAGAGATTAATGCCAACCAATACTGAAAAACTGAAACTAAACTGAGAAATACAATTTATTCAAGATGAAAGCTAGGAACTGTAAGCACTTCAATTCATATATATAAAGTTAGTAGGGTTCTATTACTGCCATCCATTGAAAACACACATTTTCAAACATCTGCACTGAACACAATAGTGTAAATCAACTGGTGTAAACTGTTCTGCAGTTTTCCATGGAGCACTCATAGCATGACATACCCTTCAGATTGCAAAGGAAATATTAAAAATCAATGCTTTTGCTTGTGGTGTATATAGCCTCTCTCAACAATTAAATGATCTACACATTTTCAGGATCTTTTGCTGTCCGTTTACACAGATATTTGCAATAGAAAATATTCATTAAAAGCTACCTATTATATTCATCTAACGAAAACAGATCTACCACTAGTGCAGTGGTAATGAATTTAAGGGTTTGGTAACAAGAAAAATTATTCAGCAAGTTCTCTACATTGTAAGCCATTGTTTGGACTATGTTTATTCAGTAAAGTACTGTTCTCTGAATCTCATGCTTTACAACCTCTTCCTTTAGTAACATTGTATTGTAGGGAAAAAAATATAATTCTGGTTCTCTCTGAACTGGTACCTACCCAAATAATAAGTTACATTTAAGGCTATGATAGCTTTGCTTTACTTAACACAAAATCTAATGTATATATTCAAATTATCATTTTCATTTTGTCATATTTACTTAACACATCTTTTTACAATCTCTCATCCCAGACTTGAATCACAAACATTACAGCTCATTCAATATCTTTAAACCTTGTATGTCTTGTAGAGTTGATAGTTAATAAATCAGAATGTCAACTCTCCTAGTTTTACAAGACAGAAACCTATAAAAATAGTCCAAGTATATAAATCCAATTTAAAGAACTGCCACATAATTCTGTTCTGACTGCTAATGGCAAACTTAGAGAAAGCCTTTCTAAAACTGGCCTTTCCAATGCCAAAAGGCTTGGGAAGATTAGTGGAGGTTCCAGGACCTATACAACACAGCAGAGTAGAAATGTTTCCTTTTGACAGTCAGCTGATATGGTGAATATATTGCAACAAATTCATCCTTGGTATAACTCCAATAACGACATGACTGCACCAGGGATGAATTTGCTCCCCTCGATCCAACAACAACAAATAATTTAGCACACTACTTTCGGAAAAATAATTTGTACAATCATAGAATCATAGAATATCAGGGTTGGAAGAGACCTCAGGAGGTCATCTAGTCCAACCCCCTGCTCAAAGCAGGACCAATTCCCAACTAAATCATCCCAGCCAGGGCTTTGTCAAGCCGGGCCTTAAAAACCTCCAAAGAAGGAGACTCCACCACCTCCCTAGGTAACGCATTCCAGTGCTTCACCACCCTCCTAGTGAAAAAGTTTTTCCTAATATCCAACCTAGACCTCCCCCACTGCAACTTGAGACCACTGCTCCTTGTTCTGTCATCTGCCACCACTAAGAACAGCCGAGCTCCATCCTCTTTGGAACCCCACCTCAGGTAGTTGAAAGCAGCTATCAAATCCCCCCTCATTCTTCTCTTCTGGAGACTAAACAATCCCAGTTCCCTCAGCCTCTCCTCATAAGTCATGTGCTCCAGACCCATAATCATTTTTGTTGCCCTCCGCTGGACTCTTTCCAATTTTTCCACATCCTTCTTGTAGTGTGGGGCCCAAAACTGGACACAGTATTCCAGATGAGGCCTCACCAATGTCGAATAAAGGGGAACGATCACGTTCCTCCATCTGCTGGCAATGCCCCTACTTATACAGCCCAAAATGCCGTTAGCCTTCTTGGCAACAAGAGCACACTGTTGACTCATATCCAGCTTCTCGTCCACTGTGACCCCTAGGTCCTTTTCTGCAGAACTGCTACCCAGCCATTCGGTCCCTAGTCTGTAGCAGTGCATGGGATTCTTCCGTCCTAAGTGCAGGACTCTGCACTTGTCCTTGTTGAACCTCATCAGGTTTTTTTTGGCCCAATCCTCTAATTTGTCTAGGTCCCTCTGTATCCGATCCCTACCCTCTAGTGTATCTACCACGCCTCCCAGTTTAGTGTCATCTGCAAACTTGCTGAGAGTGCAGTCCACACCATTCTCCAGATCATTAATAAAGATATTAAACAAAACCGGCCCCAGGACCGACCCTTGGGGCACTCCGCTTAAAACCGGCTGCCAACTAGACATGGAGCCATTGATCACTACCCTTTGAGCCCGACGATCTAGCCAGCTTTCTATCCACCTTACAGTCCATTCATCCAGCCCATACTTCTTTAACAATGTGAGGTAAGACAACAGATTTCCATCTGCAATGCAACATTTTATAAAAATCTTTTTATTTCCTATTAAAACAGGAAATTTGCTCCACCAAAAGCAACCTTCCAAAGTTTCATTATTAGACATATGCACGTGTAACAGCACAGAAACGAATCTTGTATAAATTGAGGTATTTAGCAGAGGAAAAATTGCTCAAAATTGAGATTCTGTATTCAAAGAATTGTACTTGTGCATGATTCTCTCCATCTTATTGTCAATCTCCTTTGAATGTTATCTTTATTAGACTCTTCTTCCAGGCTATATACTTGATTCTTGCTTATAAAGCAGGATCTACAGCAAGCACGATGGACACGAAAAGCATGGTGTCTATTTTTTGAGTTAATTTCATTTCCATTGAATATGAATATCAGCACGGAGGACCTCACTATCACTGACAGCTCACTTTTTTTTTTTCTTTTAAAGTAAATGTAGTGGCTGTGAAATATGCCGGGCTGACAGACTTGGAGGCTTTTCTTTGGAGACAAGTCTTCAGCGAGCGGCAAGGCAAGCCAAGTTCAGTGGTAGCACACGTTGCCCTATCAATGTGTCACAACCAAGAACTAAAGAACATACATATTAGGAGTGTGATAGTTACTCCTCCTATTAAGTCTTTGTGCGTCTGCAGAAACCGCCAACAAGGCTGTCATTGGTGGTGCTTTAGATTGCTGTGTATTTTGGATATGGCCACATAACCATAGGAAAATGGACTGAGAGCATCAACTCATTTCATAAAAGAAAGCAGTCATCAAATGTTATTTTTTGGTCACTAACCAATGTGGGCTGATACAAATAGGTAAGCTAGTAATTAAAAGCTTTGCATCCTGCTCCATGTAGCCATACTGTTAACTCATTCTTTAAGAATGAGTTTTTTAAAGATTTTGGCTGAGTTTCTTATGAGTTTATAGTATAATATGCCTAATCTCAAGTATTGCTACATGGATCCTAATGGAATGAATTTCAGAAGAGAGACACCACACGTTCCATTTTGACTATTAAAACTAAGAAAAGTTACAAAAACATAACCTACAAAAAAGATTGTAAGTCACCATAAGAAAAAATTATGCCAACCTAATGGTTACCATCTGTGACCCAGAACTGGGAGCAGGCTCTAATTCTGACTCATCAAGCTGGTAGTGCTAAGGTGGCACTGTCTTCAGAGGGATCAAATCTGTACAACACCAAAGTGTCCCTTCAAGGCTAGAAATATACAATAGAAAGGGCTATTTGTACAACACTTTTGTAGAGCCTGGGTAACAGCTGCACTCGGGAATGGAACATACCAGGAATAAAGAGGGGGTGGAAACCTAAAAGAGTCTCACAAATGGCCATAGAGACCATTCTGTTTACCTGTGAGAAGGCTCAGTTCCCCAGTAGATACGGAGGAGATGGCATGAATTAGTGGTTTGATCAACAGGCGTCAGGAGACCTACCCTATCACTGAT